TGAAAGCCTTAGCTCTCCCAGGAATTTACCTATTTATTTATTTATTTATTTAATTTGCATATCACCCTTCATCCACAGATCTCTAAAGCATCATACTGCATCCCAAACAACAAATATGCTTACTTTTCATAAACAGATCTCCTTAAATACCTCCAAGGGGCAGGCATGACTGTGTAAGAAACCCAAGCATGGGCAGCAATTAGTATTTTTCTTTGGGGGGTGTGGTGTGACCAATAATGCTGTGTGTGAATTGAGAGAAGCTCCCCACCATCTCTTAACAGTGGCACTGAGGATGCTGGGGCTCATTGGCCAGCAGTAGCAGGCCATGTATCAGTCTACTTCGGGTCTACGTCACTTTGGCGCATGTTCACTGATAAGTCTGTTCCATCCCATTTCTGCAATTCAAAAAGCAATGAAAAAAGTGCAGTTAACCAAGAAGAGAGTCAGAATATTTGAGAAGTCTGAAGGCCAGTAGATACTTAAGTTGCAATCTGGAAAAGTTGCCCAGCAGGTCACTTCATATCAGAGTTTGCATTAATTTGTTCAAGCAGCCCTACTGAAGGAAAGGTGTTTCCCAACTTGTTTATTTATCAAGAGAATAATCAGCAATAGCTTGCAAGGAAATTCTGAGAGGAGTGTGTGTGTGAGATGTCAGGTTCAGTGTTTAGTGTGAATGAAGCACAAGCCATGATAACTATACATTGGAGGCATCTCCTGATATACTCCTCTACATATTATGTTGTATTTCTGCTGGAAACTGAGGGGTGTAATCATCAGAGTGTTTGCAAGATCATTCTTCTTTACAATGCATCTGCTTAAGACATTGGTTGCAAGCTACACATGTGCCTGTAGATGACTTTTCTGGCATCTGCAGACTCCTGATGACTTCCTTCCCCAGTGAAATAAAGCGTGAAAGAAGCCTTCTGTTGTAGCCCCTGAACGTTTTGGTGGGGAAGGGAGGCTTAGCTCTCCCCTCACCAGTTGTGACGCTTCCACAAACACCAACAGAAGCCTAATTGCCCTGCGGGAGGGGTGGAGGCAGTGTGCACCAGATTGTGGTGCATGTACATGGCTGGCGTACACAGATAGTGACCACCATAGTTCCTCTAGTTTGCAAATGTTCCCCTGAGTTCCAGGACACTGGTGACTCTTGGTTTAAGATGACCAAAGACAAATTTGCCAGACTAAAATGCTTTTAAGGGATTAGATGGGAAGTTCAAGTTCCCATAGAGGGATGGCTGCAGTATTTGTGGCAATCTCCACTAGAATTTGGTTATAACCAAAGCACAAATAAGTTCTCTTGCGTAGGCAGCCAGGGCTTCTTTAATGTGTTATCCCAAGAAAGTTTCACCTTACACTCACCACTTTAAAGATTAAAGAGGAAGTTGCCTTTTTAACAAGTTTGAAGTGATAATTTTGCCCTACAATAGTGTGAATTTTATATTTTCACACGTTTCTCCTTGATGATATGGTGGAGATATTTGGCTACATTTATTTGCTTTGAGGGTAGCAGGGACCAACGGCAGTATTTTCCCAGCTTTGCGTGGAATTCCCTTTACATGGCATAGTCATGTACAGAGATTTGCCAATAAGTAAACTGATACATTAAGATGATAGATTCCCGAAGGAAAAACGAAAACACATGCATACACTATTAATTACAGGGCATAGGCACTACTGGGATTAGATGGGATTTCTTAAAGCCTAAAATGGTGAGATGTATGATAAAGCCGTGTTAATCACAGCTGTAAAGGGAGTAAAAGGAAATTTCTAAATCTCCCAGTTCTGGAGGAAATCTTGAAAACGTAACTGCAGAATATCTCAGAAAGACTCAGAAGCCAAAAGAGAAACAAGATTAAATCCTAAGGGTGGAATTCAACTTTGCACTAAGGCATTTGTTCCATCAGCGCAAGTATTTATACTTGCCATACAGAACAATTTCCCCTCTTACATGTTGTTCTGGGGGTTTTTCCTGACCCAGAGCAGACGTGGGGAGGGTATGCAGGGGGAGGAGGGGTGGGGGGAAATCCCATTGTGCTGGTTTCCACTGGCACAACTGCTAAATTGAGTGTGGCTTAATGCATTGTTTTACCTTAGAAAAATCTTGAGTACTTTTAAAAATCTCGCCAATTTTTTATTCCGAGATTTATCGTTTTGATTTATTAACTCTGGATTGTATCAAATGAAGGCACCTTTTAGTTAGGGAACCTCTTAAAGCCCTACTGGGGTGGGGAATGGCATTCCTTCCTGGAACACGTTCCAGTGGCAAAAGTGGCTAGAACAGGGGTCTGCAACCTTTAAGACAAAAAGAGCCACCTGGACCCGTTTCCAAAGAAAAAAAAACGGGGAGCTGCAAAACCATTGCGACATAGAAAATTAATCAGGGCCCCAGTGTACCATAAATCATAATCAGTGCCTGATGTAAATAATAATTAATAACGAGGGCCCAATGTCATCCTCGTCATTATAAAAATAACTTTTTTGTCACTTTTTTATTATTTCTTTGATTGACCCCTCAGAATTACTCCTCCTCATAGAAATAAACGTTAAATTAACAAGTTACCTTTTTTGTGTGTGTGTGTTCTTCACTCCCCTTCAAAACAGTGACCAGCGTACATGCCCCCTTCCAATGCAGTGACCTGCGTACATGCCCCTTACAATGTAGTGACCAGCATACATGCCCCTTACAATGTAGTAGTGACCACCATACATGCCCCTTACAATGTAGCGGGCGGGAAGGTGACGTCGGGACGGTGCGTGACTAACGCACGCACCGCCCCCATGCGACGTCACAGCCAGTACATTGCCCGCCACAGTGGGGAGTGTCGGGGCGCACAATGCGTCTCCTCCCCTCGCTAGTATCCACGGCAAAGGTGTAAAAGAGCCACATGCGGCTCCAGAGCCGCGGGTTGCAGACCCCTGGGCTAGAAGAAGACATGTAAATCTTACTACTACTTTTTCTTTTACATTAAGCCAATTCTTACACACTCTTCTATCCTCTATCTAGACAGGCAAGAGGCATTATCAGATTTTTATCTAATTTTAATTTTATTTTGTTTATGCAGTTTATATACTGCTGAACTGCAGTTGTCGCTAAGGGGTGAAACATTCAGGGACACATTCCCGCTAGGAAAAAACACTTGGAAGCAGGGCCAGTGAGAGATGTGGTCTGTTGAGAAGGGTGTGTGCCTTGGAGAGTCACAACAGGCATATGGAGAGACATGGAAGGCTACATTTGGCCCTCAGGCTTGAGGTTCCCCTGAACTATATCATGGCCAGCGGTAGAGCAATTGTTTTCAATGGGTCTCCTGCAAGTTTGCTGGCTCCTGGGGGCCAATACACTGTGGGGTCCCCCATTTTTTTAATGTTCAGAGGGTTCCCTGTGCGACATCATGATGTTGCAGGGCATCACACGTGGAGGCCCTCAATCCTCTGGACAAGATGGTGCCCCTGGTCTCCTGTGAGTATGAGCTAGTCAGATTCAACCTTCTTTTTCAACATGGATGCAAGCTATTGAAAGTTGTAACCCAACCTTGTCCATTCTTTTCCTGATTGCTCATATTAAGGAGGTGTACACTATCTTAAGCATTAATGATTTTTAAAACCCTAAGCACGACATCTGAAAATAACACTCTTCTTCATCTATTTATTTCTCAGGTGTACTTAGTCAAGCCAATACTCCTCAGCCTTGTCTTGCTCACCGTCTCTCAGCCCCTTCCCCCATTGTCTTCATACTGGAAGGTTAATATTAGGTTTACAGGAATGTTGTACGCCCTATTATGTTAATGTAAGGAAAGTTATATACATATTACATGCTATGTATATACAGTGGTACCTTAGTTGTCGGAATTCAGTTCTGTTCCGGAATTCAGTTCGACTTCTGAAACGTTTGACAACCGAGGCTGAAAGGGCGGTCAGCAAAGTCAATGGAGAAAAAAAAATTGACTTCCGAGGCACATTAGAAAATGGAAGCAATTATTTCCGGTTTTTCGGCGTTCGGATTCTGAACCTTTCAGCTTCCGAGGCGCTCGAAAACCAAGGTACCACTGTATATAGTATTTTAACTCTAGCTATATAAAACTTCAGCTACATAATTCTTGCACACACTCAGTTGGAAGAGGCAGCCAGTGATGTCGGTTAGGCTTGCGTATGAATAATCACACATAGGATAGGTGAGTGTTGTTAGTGAGCCATTTTAATTTATAGCTGCTTTGCATGCAGTTAGGAAAATGGTTTATGCACATAACTGCCAAAGGATCTGTGAAGGTGCAGGGGAGATAAAATGTCTGTTTACACGTGAGATGACACATTTTTAAATTAAAGAATTAGTCAAAATGAACTGCCACGCTTACTTTTATTAACTTTGTCTCTGATGTTAATTAGAATGACTGCTCAGTCCAGATATATGTATCGAAAGGGTGAGGAGGAAGATGGAAGATGTAATAATTTAATTAATAAGGATTCTGTGTTTTTGAGTGTCCACTCCAGTTTTCCTGGGAAGTCAGCATTCAAGTCAGGGACAGATCCTATGTTTCCTGACTCCCCAAGCCCCAGGCTTTTGTGTTAGCTGCCATTACTAACATTTTTAGTTTGTTTTGGCCTGCAAAACAAAGGCAAGTTCTTTAAAGAGATATGTCCAAAGGATAGTCTTTGTCAAGTATGTTGATTTGCTTTTCCATACATTCTTATCAATAGTCTAGACACAAGGAGAACACAGTGAATAGTCTATCATTTTTAAAGAAGCAGTTTCCTTCCTTAAACAAAGAGGTTCTCAGTCTGTTTTACGAAAGGATGGGAGCAGCATTTCTCTATAGGAGAGAGAGATAACAAAGTGATTTTTCTCTGTGCCTCTCATCTAATCAATAGATAAATAAAATGAATGCTGTTGTGGGAAGTATGCACTGACTATATATTAAAAAAAACCCAACCCACCAGAATTGCCTAACAATATCATATAATACTTTTGAACTACAGCACGTATCTTGTGTGTTTTTTTACAGAAAGCAGAAGCTACTGGAGAAAAACGACCAAGAGGCCGGCCCAGGAAATGGGTAAGTATTGCATTTTTAGTTTTTATAAAATTAAATTTTTTCTCTTTTAAGAATTCAGCAAGGTAACTTTAAAAAGAAAGAAGGCAGCTATTTCGTTTAACGAACGGCTGCGGTCAGTTTGCCTCAATCCAGTGAACTAGACCCCATCATCCGAGGTTGGCATTGGCAGGCATGTTCCAGGGCCCGTGAATGGGTGGAGGGCACAGATTGCTAATGCCAGGCCTGAGATGGTTGGAGTTAGCACATCAGAAGTGGAGGGAGGGAGAGGTGGCACAGAAGGCGGCCGCACATGCTCCCTATAATTGCCTTGATGAGTGACCTCCCCCCACCCCCAGCGTGAGACAGGCTATATATGCTCATTATCCTTGTATGGTGTATATATATCCCCACCCTTTGTAATGGCTAGGGGCAAAAAGTCTGTGTCTGACAAGGTATCTGTACTACTCCTTCTCCCCACTGCCACCATCACTGCTCTTCCATGTCCTTGGAGCCTCCTGGCCAAACCCACTCCCCTCCACACTATGGCAATGGCAGTGAGTCATGGAAAGGGATGGGACCTGTGCAAGTTCTGCAGTGAAGGAGAGGAGCAGAGAACCATAGCAGCACTGGAGCCAGTGTGGTGTAGTGGTTAAAAGTGGTAGACTCGAAGTCTCTCAGCCCCACTCAGCTCAGAGTGTTTGTTGTGGGGGAGGAGGGGAAAGGAGATTGTTAGCCGCTTTGAGACTCCTTCAGGTAGTGATAAAGCGGGATATCAAATCCAAACTCTTCTTCTTCTTCTTCTGGTGAGGAGCAGATTCTGGATTGGGGAACTTGGGGCTTCCAGAGGTTGCTGGACTCCAGCTCCTGTTGTCCTCAACCAGCATGGCCATTGGTCAATGAAGATGGTACTTGCAGTCCAACAAAAATCTGGAGGGCCACAGGTTCCCACCCTGATGTGCATTTATAGGGGGGCAGAGGGGCTCACTAGAGGCCTCTTGAATGGGGCTCATGAAAACCTGCAGCACCCTTGCTGAGAGTTAAAGGCAGGTGAGGAGTTATTGCCGCTTCCTACCTTTAGACTCTGGGAGTTTGCTCAAAGACACATTTTACTACTGTTTGCTGGGAGGGGATATCTGTGTCTTATCAGCATGAATGAACCTCAGCTCTTCCCTTTTTCCCTTTTTTTAAAAGTGAGAGGTGGAGGGGAAACAGAACACTGAGGTAGTTTGTTGAGTAATTCAGTTACAAAGGTTAAAGAGTGGGGTTTATCTGGAGTCCAAACGTGATTAGGAAAGAGGATAACATTCAAACGCAGTGTATACAAAAAGCAGGTTAATAAACAAAACTCCTTTGTCTCTTTCATGAATGTCCCATAGTTTCTGGAAAACACCCCGCTCCAATCGCAGGAAACCTATACCCACTCCCTCAGTGATTTATATTATTTCTCCTTTCTGGTTCACTTCAGAAATGGAAAAGCCGGCCTAAGGCAGAGGCAGTTTCAGGGTAGCACAACCAGTGTGATTGCTGGGGGAGCCAAAACAATGCTATAGAAAGTAGTGAGAGGCAGGGAGGGGGAGCGAATTTTAGTGTCACCGAGGGTGTCACTGAAATTTGAGAGCCCCAAGTCCACCACTGCCTGAGGGAAGCGGATTTGCACATGCAGGTCACTTTGCTAGATCAACTCAGCATCTGAGGTAAGGTTTGTGCCTCCCAGGGCCGCCACCTGTATGGAAGAGGAGGAGCTGGAGAATATCCCCTTGCACCTCTTAAAGCAGCAGTGGTGTGGCATGCACAGAACAAACACATGAAGCATGCAGGGTGCACATTCACTGTCACACATGCAGAGAACAAGACCATACGCTGCTCTCTTCTTTACTTTGCTCAGGCTGCTGCTCTTTCTGGTGCCAACACAGGCCCAGTCTCTCTACCAAATAATAATAATAATAATAATAATAATAATAATAATAATAAAAATTTATTTATACCCCGCCCATCTGGCTGGGTTTCCCCAGCCACCCTTGGCAGCTCCCAACAGAATATTAAAAACACGATCAAACATCAAAAACTTCCCTAAACAGGGCTGCCTTCAGATGTCTTCTAAAAGTCACATAGTTGTTTATTTCCTTGACATCTGATGAGAGGGCGTTCCACAGGGCAGGCGCCACTACCGAGAAGGCCCTCTGCCTGGTTCCCTGTAACTTGGCTTCTCGCAGTGAGGGAACTTCCAGAAGACCCTTGGAGCTGGACCTCAGTGTCCAGGCTGAACGATGGGAGTGGCCATTTAGGGCTTTAAAGGTCAGCACCAAACCCTTTGAATTGTGCTTGGAAACGTACTGGGAGTCAATGTAGGTCTTTCAGGACCGGTGTTAAATGGTCTTGGCGGCCACTTCCAGTCACCAGTCTAGCTGCTGCATCCTGGATTAGTTGTAGTTTCCGGGTCACCTTCAAACATTCCCTTCATCTTCTCCCTCCAACAGTTCACTAGTCATTGTTGCTCTCCAGGCAGTGAGGATATAAGTCAAATCACTACTGGGCTCGGGAGCCTGGGCAAACTCAGTAGGCCTCTGATCTCCCTCCACCACAGTGTGAAGAGAATGGGATGAGCTGGGTAATGTGGACAAAAAACTGCAGTAGGATGCCAGTTGTGATGTTGAAGAGCAGACAGTAGCCAGCCCTGTTTCCTGTGCAGGGGCACACATTAGGTTCAAAGGCTAAGTTTATTGCAACTGCTTGGAGTAAAGGAGAGTGGTATCTCTGGATTGCGCTGTGAGAGACCCCACCTGAAATTCTGAAGAGCTGCGGCCTGTCAGTGTAGATGATACTGAAGTAGATTGGCCAATTGTCAATCACTACAAGGCAGCTTCACAAAAGTAAGGATGTCATTTAGCCTTTAGCTGGTCCAAAACCAACTCCCCCCCCCCCCACTTTTTTGCACATGGAAATATAATGGAAGAATTTTCACATTATGATGGAAATTGTAGAGGCAATTCATTCAGTGGCAAGGCAGTGTGTGGGCCCCAGAAGTTGCTCATTTAAAAAATAATTTTTTTGGGGGGGGGCGCAAACCTTTGATATTGGACCTTCTTTTGAGAGATTCTTTAACCATATGCTGTAGCTTTAGATGAATGTCATCTTTTAAGAAATGAAGAGTAAGCGAAATGTATGCTTTTTATAGTCTGTCTCTCTGGTTTCCACGGAAAGAGTGTATTGCAAATAGCTGTTAAAGGGCCACACTTTATTTATTTATTTTTTGCGTGAAGAAGTTCACTGTTGGAGGAAAAGCCTATTGCATCCTGCTGGTGCCGTCTTCACAACCATAAAGCTGATGGTGGCAGCAAGGATTGATTGGCACGGTTCAATTTTCCTAAGCCCACAGGGTCTTCTCGCCAGGGACAAGTGCATCCAAAAGTGAGTGTTGCCACCCAACACTCTTTCCCCAAGCCCCACAGCCCCATGGGATGCCTGTTGCCTCCTCCGCCATTTGCTGGTGGGGATGCAAATATCCCTTCCCTGTTCATCAGATGACCTCATGAGCAGCGGAGGGGGCAATTGCCTCACTATCAAGGTGCAAGACTGGGAGGAGTGCTTTACATGTTTCTGCCCATCCTGGTGTCATGTCCACATTATCTTTTCTTTTTACCATTTATGCCAAAATGTTTTTGGGGGGTAGGGTAGGATGAAAAATTTGCTTAGCGGCTGGCTCGGGTTCCCTGGCCAGGAGTCAACCACCCCTGAGTTATATTATTGAATCTATCAAAGAGTTCTAAAACTCATGGTCATATATTTTTATCAGAAGATGATAAATTAGTGTTGTTACCCTTATCTAGTAATTATTTGTGGATGTGGGAGATCTGATGCATCTAAAGGGATACACACCCATACCTGCGAAAGGTGTGCATAGCTCCCTCCATTGAAGTTAATGCTTTATGGAAGGATCTCCAGATATATAATGGACCACACATGCAGAACTCTGTGTCGAGGGCCATGTATAAAGAGATGTAAAAAACAAACAAATGGAGGAGGATGTTACCCAAAGCCATATGGCCCTTTGCATTTTAACAACCCACCTCACTTTACACTCCACCTCTGTTTGTCATACACATTTCCTTTAAACCTTTAAATTGCACTGGAGTTATTTTCGTATTTAATCCGGTGCATTTGCAGTTAGCATTCCTTCTAAACCACTCTATTATTTATAATAGGGGTCACTGGGATTTTTGTTTTTTTATGATATTTGAGGTGGGGTAGAAGGTGCAAAATTACATGTGGTCGAGTTTTGCTATTTTGCTTTTTTGTATAAGTCTGCAAGCCTTTCTTTTTGTGAGTCTAGGATTCTGTGTCATATGTTGTTCATCAAACTGTAAAGTATTATTTCTCCTGTTTCCTTCAATGTGTACATGCAGAGATATATTAGCTAACGGAGCTCTGCAGAACTTGTGGTAGCCAAGTCTTCCTGCCAGTTCCAACTTATATACTTTACATCTGGTGATTCTCGTTTTTTGTTTTTTTTTAAAATGGTAACTAAATTTATTGGACCAATATGATACCTTGGAATAGTACTAGTGGTCATAATAATAACGGCATAAAGTGCATTCTGAAGCGTGTAGTAAATTACTTTATCTTTTCAATAAAGTAATATTGCTCCTAAAAAGCAATCCGTGAAAGTAAGACTACTGGAACAAGCATAGAGCACAGTGTCATGCATTCTTTGATCAGGGAGACCCAAATACAAACCAAAATCAGGAATTGGTATCTTAGTCTCAAATGTACAAACGATTATTGGTTGCCCAAAGCCTGACATATTGGTCACAATCCAGGCAGTCTCCATAGATGATTAATACATTTCTAAATTGCCTTCCACGTATAGGTTCCAAAGTGATTTACAGATCTATCCTTAAACCAGCTAAAATAAGTACAAGAACAACCAGGTGTAGGTTTAAAAACAACACGGAATGACCTTTGCACCTGGTTGAGAAAGCTAGTTGAAACAAAAATGTATTCAGTTGTTTTCGTAAATTACA